GAGAGGGGAGAAGATGGTCCCCGGGGGGGGGGGGGTGAGGGCCCTCAGGAAACCTGGGGCCGCCACAGTACTGGTGACGCCCGGCCGGGCGAGCGCAACCAGCGCCGTGCTGGATCCCAACGCACTCGCGTGGACTCAGGACGTGCTCCCGCGCCCGTGCCAGTCCAGCCGCACGCGGGGCCGGGGCCGGGACCGGGACCTCTCCGCTGACCCGTTACAGCACGATCTCCCTGACCCCGGCGGCTTCAAGCTCCGACGCCCTGGAACTGCCCTGGCCGTGCGCGGGCCCGGATACGCTGCGTCGTCGCAGAAAGGGAACGCTTTCCCAGTTTCCATCAACAAAAATTCCTGGCCCAGGCTTCGTCCGCTCCTCCCCTCCCCTCCCAGCCCAGCCCAGCCTCTGCAGCCCCCTGCCACCAGCTCGGCCCCCCCCCCCCCCCCCCCCCCCCCCCCCCAGCCTCTGCAGCCCCCTGCCACCAGCTGGGCTGCATCTGGCCAGCGCCCTGCTGTGCCGTGAGGCTGCCCAGGGCCGCCCCAGCCAGGCAGCTGGCTCTCCTGGCACCTGAAGCCAGCCGTGTCGTTCCCTGGGGTCAGCGTGACAATGCAGAGGGCCCAGAGCCAGCAAGGGGCAATGCGCGTGGTCTGGGCATCACTGGCTGGACTCGCTGCCCCGGCCAGACCCAGCTAGTGCTGGCAGGGAGACAATGCCAGGCTTTTCCAGCAGGCTGGGATCTCCAGCCAGGAAACACCCTCAGCAAACAGCATCAATGGAGCCAGGCGGGGCCTTCCTCCCACCCCAGACCTCAAAGTGCTTGGCAAACATCAGCTGGCCCAGTCTCAGTGCCCCGGGAGCCAGGCGGGGTGGAGGCGACTTTATGCCAAGCCCGTCCTCACTCTGGTTGATGATTCACGGCCCCAGGATGCTTTGCAGAGAGGGCAGCAGTTTGCCCTTGGCCAGGGTTGGCGGCAGGCTGGTTGCTGGCAGCAGGTGGGCTCCACCTTGCCATCAGCCAGGTCTTACTTCGAGTCAGGTCTGAGGGGGCTTCCAGATCAGGACTCAGGGGATTGACTGGATCACCCGCAGCCCTGGCAGGGGAGCGGCTGTCGTCACAGGGCTCCCAGAGAGAGGTCAGGGACGAAGGTGCCACCGACACGCCACAGCCCCACGAGAGCGACTGAGCACAAACAGCGCTGTGCTGAGGACAGCAGGGGAGGGGGCCTCAGCCCCCAGACTTGTCATGTCTTGGCCATGAGGCCCAGTGGGTAGAGCCCTGGGTCTGTCCTTCTGGGCGACCACAGAGAAGAGACTTCCCCACCCTGTGCCTCCATGTCCCCATTGGGATCGGGGCCCCTGGGGACGGCCCAGCCTGTGTCTAGCATGCTGTTCACCCACAGGGGTGCTCCACACTTGGGGAAGGAGGCCATGGTCCCTTCCACCCTGGATAGCACCAACACCTTGCTGCAAGTTGAAGGACCCTCCTGCCACAGCCACAACTCCAGTAATGCCGGCCCAGCTGGACATGGGGCTCCTGGACCCCCACACACTCATGGCTACAACCCCTCATTTCTCCTAGGTGGCCTGGGGCAGCAAGGAGGGGCTGTCAGCATTTGCCCCCATAGCCAGGGTGTATCTGCTTGGCGTGAGAGCCCAGGCACTGCATTTGCCCCCTCCTGCCACTCACAGAGTGCCCTGCTCAGGGGGAGCAGGGGGGCTGGGATCTGTTGCCCCCTGGAGCTGGGGGGCTAATCCCAGCTGCCTGTAGACTCAGAAAGCATCACCCATCACTCTCAGCTGGATCCCATTGTCCAGGTTTTCCTCACCACCACAAGGCCTTTGGGTTTTAAAGGAGAAGCAGACTCCAGAGGCACCCTTGTGCTCCAGGCAGGAGAGGGTGCTGAGATGCCTGGAGAGCACAGGGAATCTCCCACATCACAACTTAACTACAACCCAAAGTGACCTTCTTGTGTCTGGCCCCAAAAGCCCAGGGGTCACTCCTGACCAACGCAGCACACACCTCAATCCACACCCCGGCTGTGTATCCCAGCCAGGAGCTAGGGCAGCAGCTCCCAAACTAGGAGTCACAGCCCTGTTTGGGGTCACATCACGGATAAACAAGGTCACAGACAAGCAGTTAACTTGGAGCAGAGCCTGCATCAGGAGCCCAGAACTAGGGTTGTGGCCCAAAGAAACTGGGAGCTGCTGATGGGGCTCCAGGCATGGTGTTAGAGTAGCCTCAACCCTTCCAGATCGTTGCACCCAGCTCTTGCTCTTTGTCCTGAGACCTGGTCAGGCCTTTCCCATTGGACCAGTTTTGCCATTAGAAAAGTTCATTTCAAAGACAGCAAAGCTCCCCCAGGAAGGGCTCATTTGGGTTTTCCAGATGAAAAACCCGCTGCACTTTGAAATGCAGGTTCTCCTGTAAAAACAATATGAAACCTCAACAGGTTGCTTCCCCCAGATCAGGACATTTGCTTATCCATTTACTCATGGTGTAGATTTTTTTTTTTTTTTTAAAGGAAAAAATTTCATGTCCCAGGTTGAATCAGCCGAATCAGGTCCAAATCCGTTTGAATCATCCAAGAACCATATGTGGCCCTGCTACCAGCAAGTATCCTCCACCACAGCCTGGGGCTTCAGATACTTCCAAATCCTTTGGCCAGCATCCTACGTGCAGGCCCAAGCCTGGAGATTTCGGGTTTGGATGCCCCCAAGTTTCGTTTGCCCTCAGCCATATGGCTGCAGGAGCAAGATAGGAAGGAATCTCCCATTTCCATAAAGTCGGTGTGTAGATGATATCCTCCCACTGGAATGGCCAGTGGGAGCTAACTATGAGGCTCTTGTAGGGAGTCTTGTCTGCAAGCAGACAAGGGTGCAACCAACCCTCCACTACACAGTGCCATTTTAATTGCATCACCTTGGTCATGGGATTTCCCCTGCCGGGTAACGGTGTAGATGCAGATGCTGCCCTGTCCCCAGGCAGGTTGGGGCGGCCTCCACTGTCTAAGCTGAGCAGCTCTTCAGATTTTGTGTCCCAGGAGAGAGAAGACGTAGAAAGCCAGTGGAGCAAATGGCTCGGTCCAACCGTGGAGGACACGTTTTACTGAAGCTTCACAGCTGTGGCATTTTAAAAATAATCGCATCTCGGGCACATCTCCAGCCCGTAGTTTTGAGTCTGCAGAGGGGATTGCATTCTCTGGCTTTGCCATACTGAACGGAGGGCTGGAAATGCTGTGAAAGCTGAGACTCTCCGTGTGATCCCAGGATACCAGGAGCTGGGGCTTTCGGCCAAACAACAAACAGTGCAGGACATGCAACGAGGCCTCGAGAAGCACGACACTCCATCAGCATCAATACATTTCCATTATTAAGGATGATGAATATTACCCACCACCGGTGCTAAGGAAAGCCACTTGCCATTAGTATTAATGATTAATAACAGGGCATTGTTAATAAAAGGCTGGGGCTGATGCATTGCAGCTTTATTTGAACAACATGGCCCCTGGGGCAGGTTGAAAACTCTCCAGGTTGCATCTGCTTACTAGTGGGTTTGTGAGGCAGAGATCTGGGCCTGGGAGGGGGTAAGAAACAGCCCCCAAGTCTTGCAACAAGGTTGGAGGCTGCTGGATGGAGCTGGGCTGGGGTGGGGGGGAAGCAGTCTGGGCAGTGCCAGTGCCACCCTGTTCCTGGGAGGGGGTGGGGGTGACTTGCAGAGGCCAGCCCACAGGAAAAGCTGGTCCTGCTGCATGCAGGCACTCCAGGCTCAGGCCTTAGGCCACCTCCAGAGCTTGGTCTGGCAAGAGGCATCTAGTGCCCACCCTGCCGCTTGCCCAGATAGGAGGAGGGCTGCAGAAGCCTGTCAGAGGTGGAAGGAACACGTTCATGGGCTGGGACTCCTGGGTGAAGAGTGTGCCCTGGCACCGCTGGTGAACCAGGCACCATCCTGGCAGAGCCAGGATGCAGGCTGGGGCCTTGGGCCACACTGATCTGAGCAGGTCCTGGGCAAGCATCTGCTATTCCTCCGAGCCACCTTGATCCCTCAGACAGGGATCCAGACACGTCCTCCTGCCCTCCTCATGCTCCCCAATGGCAGGACCCTCAGCAGAAAGCCCAGCTGGCTCCTCCGCTCCCTTCCCCACTCTGCCAGGGGAACAGACGGCAGAGACAAGGGAGAAGCCCCGTGCCCCCCTCCCCAACCCCCAGTCCCCAGCAGCTGCTCCATCAGTAGTGCAAGCACAGGGAGCAGATGGCCCCTGGCTCACCCAGATGGCCCTTAGCTCACCCACGTCAGCACTCCCCATGCCTGGCTGCACTCATCCAGGCTGGGGGGCACAGTCTGAGCTTGTTTCTCTGCACGCTGACAGCCCCAAGCTGCATTAGCCCTGATGTGAGCCCCACGGGCAACTCAGAGGCTCGGAGCTATACCTGCGATTGCCTGCGATGCCTTGCCCTGCAGCATGGGCCTTTTGAGGCTCCCAGGGATGCCCCCCCAAAACACCCCCCCCCTTACATGGGGGAAACCAGAGCCTAGAGTGCACCTGGTGCCACCCTGAAGTGGGAATCACTGGCATGGACATAAAGAGAAGACATGGGGCAGGGAATCAGCCCCTGCCTGCATCCTGCCTGTCACCCCCCACCCTTTCTGGCTGCATCATTCAGCCTAGGAATCAGCAGGGAAATCCTGAGATCTAATCACCCCAGCGGGTGCTGTAGCTCTCCAACACAGGCCACAGGTCACCAGCATTAGTTCCCTTCGCTGGAGCAGACACAGCTGCCAAGTGACTTGCCCGACTCACCCAGCAGGGAAGCCTGGGGAGGCGGGGATGGTGCCCATCTCCCATGACAGTGCTATTCCCACGCGCCGCAGTGCACAGGTGACCCTGCCCCGTGGGGGAGGAGCAGAGGCACTGTCAGGCTTGTGCTGCCAAGGGCAGACTACACACTCTTCTGGTTGCTTCAGGCCTTCAAGCCCAGGCCCCACTGCCCTTCCTGCTTCCAGGTTCTTGTCATATTGAATGAAATGGTTTGAATGTTTGTAATGGTTGCCCATTAGCCAGTTTCAGGAAGAAGATAAGATTCATCTCCTTATCTAGGTCATTGTTCTTGGACTACGTGCAAAGGTCCTGACTTTGTTTAAAGTCTTAATCTGAATTTTATCTTTAGAAGTCTTTTACAAAGAGAGCAAATATCCTGAGTTCCGAGAGATCAAAGCCTAGGGCCTTTTGACCAGATTGGTAAGAAAAGATCATTTGCAGTGATACGGAAGTTCCCCAAAAGTAATTTAAAATGCTCAACAAAAGAAACTAATTATTAAGCAAAAGAATCTGTTGAGTAAGATCCGAGCCCAAATTTGGGAGCAGTGACAGGTTTGAGTAGGAGTGGCCCAAGACGGCAGCTCACTCAATAAAAACTGTAACCCACTGTCCCAATTTGGAGGTGATTATACTTGTAGAACAACGAAGGAAGAATCGCAAGTGTAGGCCGGATCAGATTGATCACCTGAACCACCCTCTCCGTGAACACGAATCTCTTAGTTCACGCTGAAGCCGCGGAGCACCTGAAAGGGACTGAAGGAAGGGGACTTAGTCCTATCACTGCTGAGGCCAGCCTAATGAATCGTATTGCTGAGGTGAGCCCATTGAACCATACTACTGAGGCCAACCCATTAAATCGTACTACTGAGGAATGAAACCATATTTTGGTATTTGGCTTCTCTGAATTCTAGGATTGTAAGTATAATATGAAAAATAATAGTATTGATTCAAATTTAACTTTTAGTTGTAATTGTAGTTGTTTTTGTAACACTAGTTCTTATAGCATTGTTTGGGAAGGAAGTGCATTCGGAGCATTGTTTCTGATATATGCAGTTATTGTGTTTTTAATGTTTGTGGTGTTTCTTAAAGCTAAGCAGTGTTATATGCGTAGCAAAGAATTTTAAAATATAATTGTGTTGTATGAATTAAGTGTGTAATCATTGTGAAATCGTGCAATCAGCTAACTACTCCCCCAGCCAGTGCATCACAATGAATCAGTAAATTGTGTGGGATTTTCTCTATTCCATAACCCACTAGAGACAGTTCTTCCCACCAACTCCAAGGGCTTGGCTACTCGCAGTGATGAGGTCCCCAGGAACTGCATCCTCAGTGAGACCCAGAACTCAGGAATCACCGTGTCCCTTATGAACACTGCCACGCCAGCCTAGGCGTGATGGGGTGATGGTCCAAGAGGGGCTGTATGCTGTGCAGGATGAGGTCCCCTGGCTGCTAAGCTACTGTGTTACCAATCAATCATGATTCACTCAGGGACCAGCTCAATACACAGTTGCTAGCTACTAGATAATGAGTTAATGAGCAAGGATTAACACCTACAAAACCACAAAGTAAGGAGAGGAAAGAATCTATACAGAGCCGGGAACTGCTTCAGCCCAAGACAGACGGTTGCACAAGCACCCATGACATGAGTTTTGTCTGTTAGCAGCTAGGGGTGCAGGGCCCCAGAACCCCCCTGCACTGATCTCCTTAACAGCTGGCAGGCTTCGTGGCCTCAGCAGGGGCTAAGAGGCCTGCAGCTTTCACCATGCTGTGCCTTAACACACACAGTGTCACCCATGTCATGAGTTTTGCTTGCCCGCAGCTTGAGGTGCAGTTTCCCAGAAACCCCTGCACCTATCTTAAAACTTGGCAGGCTTTGTGGCCTCAGCAGGGGCTACCATCCCTGCAGTTTTCACCCTCCTGTGCCTTAACACATACACAGCATCACCTGTCATGAGTTTTGCTTGTCAGCAGTTTGAGGTGCAGTTTCCCAGAAACCCCTGCACCTATCTTAAAACTTGGCAGGCTTTGTGGCCTCAGCAGGGGCTACCATCCCTGCAGTTTTCACCCTCCTGTGCCTTAACACATACACAGCATCACCTGTCATGAGTTTTGCTTGTCAGCAGTTTGAGGTGCAGTTTCCCAGAAACCCCTGCACCTATCACCTTGACACTTGTCATGCTTTCAGCAGAGGCTACCATCCCTGCAAGTTTCATCTGAATCAGCCAAAAGCCAACAAAGTTACAGATATTTCATTGATTCCCCATTATACTCTATGGCTGAATCTCTGAATCGGCTCCGAATCTTCCGAAGCGATGCTGCCGAATCCAATCGGAAAAATGATTTGGATCTCCGAATCGAATCTCTGGCATCCGAATCGGCCAAATCCAATCCCGAATCAAATAGTTCCCTATTTGCACAGGCCTAACAAGCAGTTCACAGGGCCTGAAGTGAAGCAGTGAAGGCCTCTGACCTCAAGAGCAGTGGGTTCATGTACACATGCAAGATGCCCGCCCAGATGGGAAGTGCTGTGCTGGCTTGGCCCTGAGCAGAGGCACCAAGGCTCAGGGCTGTAGCAGCCACCCCTCACAGGTGAGTCTGGGTGCCAAGGACAGTGACCCTGTCCTGGAGAGCAAGCAAGCTCCCAAGTCCCCAGTGGGCTCATCCCAGCATGGCTGCAGTCCATGCCCAGCATAGCTCCACTGAGAGCAATCAACAATCACCCCCAGGCCTCACCTTGGGGAGCAACAGATGCCCTCCACGATGCAAACCCAGCATGCGGCGGGAGCCAAGCCCTTCCCGAACCTGGCCCTGGTCCTTGGGAACCAGTGCCCTGGTACAGGAGGAAAGGGAGCTGACAGGCCCCATGCTCGTGCACTGTTCCCCCAAGGGCCTCATTTGCTGAAGAGCTCTGTCCCCTGGGGCTGCCTCCCTGGGATGCCCAGCTCCTGGCTCTCAAACACAGGCTGCTGTAACCCCACAACCCCCAGAGGCCCAGCCTCACACATCCCCTGGCCCACTGTGAAGAGCTAAGGCAGCTGCGCTCTGATGCCCACCTGAGGTCACTGCTTGGATCTCAGTCTATGACACCAGCACACAGTGCAGGAGGGCGCACAGCTCCAGCCCCGTGTCTAGCAAGGGTGCTGTAGAGGTAGGCCCAGGCACCTCTTCCATGTAGCACACGGTACTTTGAATGGTTTCCATGACACCCAGAGTGAGCCCTGCCAGGGACCAAGCCAGACTGCTGCGTTGGCCTGGCCTCAGGGCAACACCGCCTCCAACAGCACTGGGCAGAGCAGGAGCTGGGGTACAAACAGCCCAGCTCCAGCGTAGCCTAGGGCTGCTCAAAACTCTTGGCTTGTAACCAGCCCAGGAGCACCACGCTGCCCCAGGCAATGCAGGTCCATGTGCCAGAGAGACCTGTGCCAGGGGCAGCCTATGCACAACCCTTGCAGCCCTTCCCAGGGCTGGAGCAACTGAAGCCAATGCCAGGGTGCAGGATGGCAGCAGCTGGCCCTGCATGTACAGGCTGTTTCCTTCCAGCCACTGAATCGAATATGCTCCCGGTCATGGTGACATACAGAGGCAGCAACACCAGCCAAGCAAACTAGAATATATTAATATTTACATTCTGGGATCAGTCGTTCTAGGAGGAAGGAACAAAACAGAGTCGGGGGGGGGAGGCAGGAACGGAAGGGAAGCGAAAGGCCGGCTTCTCACCTTGTTGACTTTCCTCCCCTGCCCCAGGAAGAATCCACCAGGCTCAAGTGAATGCTACCGCATGTGATCTGGGAAGGGCCATGGGTCTCCTGCCGTCCACCCTGGCAGGCCAGATGCAAGCCAGGCGCCAGCCAGCCCCTTCCAAAAATAAACTCTATCTATATAAATAGTTGGTCTCTGCTGGGCTCCAGGCAAGAACGGGCACAGGCAAGTGGGCAAGAGAGAGAGCTCAAAGCACCCAGTTTTCAACACCAGGGCTAAACCCCCAGGTCAGCTGGCTCTGGGAGCAAGGGCAGGGCGAGGGCCCTATTCTGATCACTGGCCCAGCTGCATAACTTTACTCACCCTGCGGAGACACTGCAGTTGCCCTGCTTTTGCCTGACAGCCCCAATTTTGCTTTGCACCTGCTGAAAGCCTGGCTCACGTGCCTGCCCAGAGAGCATTTACACCAAGGACCTAGCTGAGTGGGTCAGTGCGATCCCATGCACGTGCAATGCCCTTGGGATCCGTGGAGCAACGCAGGCAGGACTGCGGTGACAGGAACAGGCTCAGCCCGCACCCTGAAGCTGAGAGGTCTACTGCAGATTGGCACCGAGATCTGAACCCTACTGGGATGCCTGGCACAAGTAGCTTATGTGGGGTGTTGGCTTTGCCCAGGGGAGCTGTGTCAGTTTGGCCAGCTGAAGGTTCAGCCCAGAGAGCCCGACTGTTCTCTGCAGCTACTTAAGGAAGCAGTGACTCAGGGGAAATAAAGTGGGGTGGAAGCTTTGGCAGCTGTTCTCCTGGGATGCATCTCTCTGCTTTGGTCAATCAGTGAGAATCTGCCCAGCCTCTAAAACCCCCTGGTGCTTTGAGCTTGTTCAGCTCTGAACAAGGGCCCAGGAGCCCTTCCCAGGGCTCCAATCCAAGCTTCGTCTCAATATGGGAGATGCCCCTGGGAGGGAGAGGCTGGGAGGTCCTCACTGCAGAGATAGGAGGGCCCATCCCTGCCTCAGCACCAGTGCAAGGGGGCTGCAGGGTCTCAGGATATCAGTGGAGATGGGGATTTCACTCCCTCTAAGCCTCAGAGACTGACAGAGGGTCTGATCCTGCCTATTCAGAGTCCCCTTGCCCCCCACAGAGCCCAGGCCCAGCATCTCTGCTGAGGATCCAGGGGCAAAGAGGAAGGCCAGGTGTCAATCCATCCCAGGGACAGCCCTGAACGATGCGAGGTCCTTACCAGGTGCATTTGCCATAACACTGGGGGTAGATCCATGGCTCCACCACACATAAGGGCTGCAGATCCAGCCCTGGGAAGGAAGGGGGTGGGGTGAGGGTCAGTGCGGTGTCTATGCTCACTAAGGAGAAGATCTCGCTGAATATCAGCGAGGCTGGGGTGGGGTCGGACCTCTGAGATTTGCATGCGTGCAGCAAAGGGGGAGGAGGTTTGCTGGTCTGAGCTTTGCGCACAACCCTGATAAGAGAGAATCGTACAATAAGGCAGAAGGTACAGACTGAAGGGGGAGGAGAGGGGGGCTTCAATTGTGCTACAACCGCCATTGCTCAAGACTGGCCCACGTTGCGCCCAGGCAAGGCCAGCACATGAGGGGGCTGGGGCAATGAGGCCCCCAGTTCAGCCTGACTACTGAGAGCAGCACCCGCTGATGGGCCCCACTGCCATTCGGGAAGGGTGGGGGGCACTCGCATGTCTGTAATGCTGCTCATTTGTGGCCAGAGCTGGAGGGTCACAGCCATATCCACAGGCTGCAGTGCCAGGCTCTGCCCTGAGCAATTCTGCTGCCACAATGATGGTGCCTCAAAGGGCAGGGGAGAACGTCAGATCCTGAAGGGGCACAGTCCTTTCCCTGCAACCTGATGGCAAGAGAAGCCAGGGACTGGTGCCGAGGCTGCCCCAGACCCCAGCCTCAATTGCTGCAGGGTGGAGGGGGCAGCGTCTCACTGATGCCCACAGCAAGTATCAGGGTGTCCAGAAACCACGGAGCTGCAGCCCTGAGAGAGGCTGAGTCCAGAGCTCTCAGTAGCAGGAACTGGGCAGGTCCCTTTCAAAATGGGGCGATGGTGGGTTGGCTGAGCAGTGGCCAGAAGGGGAAGGGCATGGAGGGGAGGGGGCCAGCGTCTCTGGTCTGGAGTGGCTGAGCCTCTCAGTGCTCAGGGCCCTTTCCCCGTGCTGGCACGAAGCCCCTTCTGTCCAGGGGTGAGGAGTGCTGGGGTTGTTGCTGCTCAGGGGCCCTCACAACTTCTGGATCTTCTCAGCCATGATGATGGGGTTCTCCTTGCGGATCTTCTCGGCCGCTTCTGCCTTGTAATCGTATGGGCAGCTGTGCATGTCCGAGTAGCGGTGGATAGCGCAGAACAGGTTCCCACAACGGCAGTCAAAGCCTGGGCAGGGGATGCCAGAGACAAGGCAGAGTTAGGCAGGGACCAGTAGGCTGGGAGAAGGCACCACAGGGCAAGGGGCAGGCTCACACCACCACTGATGCCCAAGTAAAAGGTCAGATAGGGCACCAAAGTGCCTGCTTAATGTGCTGAGAGGGACCATGAGGACAGCTTGACTGATAGGAAGCCGTGACTCTGGCTGCTGCCGGGAAGCAGAGGGCTCCAGCTGGACATTCCCTCTCACTTGTGGCACCTAGCTGGTTTCCCTGCATCTGGGCCAGCAGGTTTCTGATAAAAGCTGGGCTCCTACCCTCAGCTCCAAAGCTCCAGGCTGGCTTCCTGTGGGAGGGCTGGGGACAGGGACTGCATGGAACAAGCCATGGTGGACTCCAGGTCAGTGGAGAGGAGGGGGTGGAAGTGTTTAGAGGTCAGATACCAGTGGGTCTGCACATGCACAGCCCCCAGCTACCACAGCCACAGAGCTTGCCCCTCAATTGCTTGGCTTGGCTCTTACACACCTGAGGCTTTTCAAAGGTGTTTTAAACAGCAGTGTGACCCCCACACTGGAGGTTGGGAAACCGAGGCAGAGAGGAAAAATTGCTGGGTCAAAGCCAGCAGGCCAGCCAGGAAGAGAACCCAGGTGTCCTGACATGTCCAGCACGCTGCCCCTGCAGCAACCGACCCCACTGCAGAACAGCAGCAGCATCCAGATGCTGGGTGTGAACCGACTCCTTGCAAGCAACGCCCTCTCCTTACACCCAAGTCCCTGAGTCCTCAGCCAAGTTCCACACCCCCCCTCCCGTGCTTTATTCCACTGTTTTAAGGAACAGCTGAAGAAGGCAGCCCCCCACTCAGGACACCACGCAACCTAGGGGTCTGGAGTGGGCTCAAAAGGAGCATGTGGCCCCACCACACTCCTAGGGGTGTTGTAACAGCAAACATCTATGACACGGCAGCACCCAGGGGCTCCAGGGCTATGCACAAACACTGGGCTTATCTTCACCATGGCCCTAGTTGCCAGTGGCAGCAAAAGCTGTTGTGCAGCGTCACACTGCTGAACAAGGCTGACGCCTCGAAGTAGGTTAAAGAGGAGGGAGCTGTGCTGGGACAGGGTGACCTGCACAGCTCCAGGGTTAGCGTTTCCCAGGCACTGGAGAGATCTGAGATCATTACCAAAAGGCAGCCAAGCTGCTTCCACGGGGAACATTTCTCCCTAGCCTCACTCTGCCCCATTCACACAGGTTTCTCGGACCCACCCTGCCACCTTCTTATTGTGTCCTACAGGTTGATCCTGGAGTGCCTGGTCCTGCTTCTGTTGAAGCAGATGGTTAAAGTCCCGCTGATTTTCATGAGCAGGGGTCAGGTAAGGCTGGATTTCCAAGGGGGCAGTGCTGTTAATGGGAGCTTCACCAGTGACTTTAACAGAAGCAGAGGTAATTCAACACCAGAGGCTTTGGTCACCAGCACTGGGGTGTGCTGGGAGCCACTGGGATATGGGACTCTGGCTGGCAGCAGCAGTGGAAGATGGAGCGCACTGCTGCTAAGGAGCACCAGGCCCAGGCAGCTGGCAAAGGCACATCTCCATGGATCAGTGTCTGAGTGAGCAGATTGCTACAACTGCTCCAACCCCTGACCCCAATCCCCATTAAGTCTAAAAGCCCCTGCTACAAAATCAAGAAATAAACATGATCTCCAACAAGCCAGGCCCTTCCCCAACTCATTCTACCCAAGCGAATCCTGTCTCCTAGGCCTTTCTGTCCTTAGCCACATCAGCAGGTTACATGTACCTCGAGCCAGAGAGGGAAGGTGATTGTTAAATATATCACACACAGACATCAAAGGATCTATTCCCAGCCTTGCATCTCACCCTGGGCAGTGGGGCCGATACATTCACTCCTGCACCATGTAAGCTTCCTATTTAAAAATAAGGAGAGCCCAAGGCTGTTCAGAAGAGATCACAGATTGTGGAGTCCTTGACTTGTGTATGTCCATCTAGCACAGAAGTTCTCCACCTCTTTAGACTCAAGACCCCCATCGGAAAATGCTGGCTCTGAGCTTTCTTGGTTTTTTTTTACTTGGTTATTTTTACAGAAAAATACCAGAGCCATTATGCTGCTGAAAAGAACTTGAAAAGACCACAGAAGGTCAGAATGTTTTGCATACTATGGATTCCTATTTGAAATCTCTAGGACTAGCTTGTGAACCATGTGCAGGTGTTTGCTTGCAAAACACCCTCTAGCATCTTTAAAAGGATCTCACAGCACCCCATGGCACCTTAGTGGAAGATCACAGACTGGAAGAACCTGGGTCTCAAAGGATGGGCACTTGGAACTCAGAAAACAAAAACCCCTTAAGACGTCTCATACTGAGTAACCTACTATGGAGGCCTTCAAAATCACCAGTCAGTTGTGAAAAATCGTGGCCTTTATGGTGCCAATGAAAGCTTCCCAATATCAAACACTGCAGTACGTCTTCCTCAGTCTGAAGATGACTCCAGTGCCTTTGGTCACAGATCTCATAGATTTCATAGATATTAGGGCTGGAAGGGGCCTCAGAAGATCATCGAGTCCAGCCCCGAAGGGGCCTCAGAAGATCATCGAGTCCACCCCCCTGCCCCAGGGGCAGGAAGTCAGCTGGGGTCATAGGATCCCAGCAAGATAAGCATCCAGTTTGCTCTTGAAGGTGTTCAATGTAGGCGCTTGAACCACCTCCGATGACAGGCTATTCTAGGGGTCTCAGACAGTGAAGAAATTCTTCCTCATGTCCAACCTGAAATGGTCTTGCAGGAGTTTTAACCGTTCGACCTTGTCATCCCTTGGGGCGTTCTGGTGAACAATCGTTCCCCCAGGTCCTGGTGAACACCCCTGATGTACTTATAGGTGGCCATCAGATCGCCCCTGAGCCTGCGCTTTTCCAGGCTAAAGAGCCCCAGGGCTCTCAGCCTGTCATCGTAGGGTCTGTTTTCCTGACCTCTGATTGTGCGTGTGGCTCTTCTCTGGACTCTCTCAAGCTTCTCCACATCCTTTTTGAATTACGGAGCTCAAAACTGCATGCAGTACTCCAGCTGTGGCCTCACCAAGGCCAAGTACAACAGGAGAATGATGTCCCGGGATTTGCTTGAGAAGCATCTATGAATGCAAGCCAGTGTTTTGGCCCCTTTACTAGCCGCAGCATCACATTGAAGGCTCATGTTCATCTTGTGGTCAATCATAACCCCAAGTCCCTTTCATCCATAGTGCTGGTCCGCATAGCATTGCCGAGCCTATAAGGATGCTGCAGGTTTTTCCTTCCAAGGTGGAGAACCTTGCATTTTTTGGTGTTAAACACCATCAGGTTCTCGTCTGCCCGTTTCCTGAGCCCGTCCCGGTCTGCCTGGATTGCCCTCCTGTCCTCAGGTGTGGATGCTTTACCTCAGAGTTTGGTATCATCGGTGAACAAGATTCTGCTCTGTCACACTGCTGTTTGGTGTGACGGCACAGGAGAAAAGCTAACTAGAATTAAATCACTTTCACTCTGTCCCTAGTTGGAAAAGCCAGATGCTGCTGATAAACCAGTTCAATTGTTCAACCAGCAAGTTGCATCCCCACAACATTCTGCATGGTACCATGACCTCCCTTGGAGGTTTTGTAGGCAAACACTGACTCATGCCAATGCGATGCGTCTAGGGAGACCAGAGGGGTCAGAGCACAAGGCAACACAGATGCAACCCTTCAAGCACAGTCTTAAAACACACATTGGCCTATGGCTTTAACCATCTGCTTTCCCTAAGCAAGCAGGTGCCCTTCGTGGCTGCAGGCTGTGCCTCCCCAGAGCCAAGATCTTACCGGTTAGTCCTATTTTCTTGCGGCAGGTGAAGCAGCGATTCTTTTTCTGTTTGGGTTTCTCTGAAGCCTTCTTGCCCTCAGGAGAGTTCTGGGATATTTCAAGGAGGGTACCTGAGACAGAGAGAGCACGGCTTTATTCCCTGTTAAGTCAGGTAAGAGTCTGTCTTATATTAGTCTTATATTATAGTACCATCTGGAGGCCCCGTTTATCCTCAGCACACCCTCATGGGAGGGGCAGGCATGGAGAGCACAGGGAAAATAATTGCCCCAGAAAACTTATGATCTGCAGAGACAACACAGAAGGGGGAATTGAGGCCACATGATCTCATGATGTGTCCCTGGTCCTGATCTTCAAGCCTCAGTCCAGCCCTCAGCTGCACTTTAGAGCTTTGCAGGTAAGGTTCAATACTAACTAGTGTGAAGCTTCCCACAGCACCACCCAGCTGCAGGCTTTCTGAAGGGCAGTGAGCACTGGAGCTGCTGTTCTATGGATGGGAGAAGCAAGGGTCGGGCTCTGGCAAGCCTACAGGCAGGGATTACCCGTGTCCCCTGCATGGCTATGGAGCCCAGGGACCTCCCCTACACCAGCGTATCTGGAAGTCCCACTCAACACCTCCCTGCACTGGCAGATGCCTGAACACTTAGGAAAATCCTATCCAAAGAGCCCTCTGGACTTTCTGGAGATCACAGAGCAAGAGCCTGTGCTGCATCTATGCTCCTAGACAGCACCATCCACCACAGATGAAACCCCTCCCACTCCTGCACTTTGCAGCCCTCCTTCCAGACTTGTCTGCAAGGCCTTCCCTTCCCTTCGCTGGGCTCAAGCCCCAGGGTAGAATGGGGCACCTGGGGCTGGTTTCCTTACTACCCTCCCACATGGGTGTTCAGGTTTGTGCAGGAACAAACTGTCCAGCTTTGATAACCATGGGCTTGCGCCAAAGAAGAGGGTCTCCGCAGTAGCGTACAGCTGAGCTGTAGCTACAGGCTGCCAACAGGGTTTGGTGCCCTAAGTCAGGACTGTCCAAATCAGGACCTGCGGGGCTAGAAATTCTGTGGTGGGATGACTGACAGCAGCACTAACCCTGACAGCTGCCAGAGCCTCTGTCAGCAGCATCAGCACCCAGAGGGGTTTATGCTGCCGCTACTTGCCTGGCCACCAAATTTCTAGGTTCACAGACATTAGGGCTGCAAGGGGCCTCTCGAGATCATTGGGTCCAGCCCCCTGCCCAAGGGGCAGGAAGTCAGTTGGGGTCAGATCACCCCAGCGAGATAAGCATCCAAAAAGGCTCCACTAGGGATAGCTTCTGGCAGCACCAGGGCAAGCAGCAGCAGTGTTAACCCCACAGGTGCTGGCTGCCCTGTCGCCAAGTTTCCAGGACAAGATCCCTGTTGAGGCTGCCTTTCAGCAGCCCAGTTAGCACGAGGTGAGGGTTAATGCTGCCACTGCTGCCCCTGCCACCAGTGGGTTGCCTGGCCCACAGTACAGATCCAGCTTGCCAAGCCGAACGAGGTGGATGGCTCTGCAAAGTGATCCGAGAGGCCATGCCCTACCATGCAGGGACACCTATCCTTCTGCCATCTCACTTCATCCACTTTGTGCCCAACTCTCTGAGATCATGAAGCATTAATGCATTCAGTCCACTGCCACTAATGCATTCAGTTCACTACCACATCAGCAGAGGTCCACACTGTAATAGGCTTGCCCAGGCTCACAGTCACCAGCACCCATAAATAGAACCCAGGGGCCTGACTCCTGGTCCCCTCCCATCAGACTACACTGGACTGATCCCCGCTTGCCCAGAGAGCAAGAGGGCAGGGAACTGCATTACCCAGCCATCTATAACTACCCAAGGTGGGGGAGGCTTCCAGGTGTTCTGCCGTTTACAAATATAGGCATCGCACAAGATTATGAGACTATTGGATGTTTGCAGTTTGGCAGTTTGTAAGTGCTCTGCCCACAGCACAACCCCTTCTGCCCCATCTGAAGCCAATGAGGGGATGATCATACTAGCAACCCTGCCTGGAGTTCTGGGCTAGCACTCTGCTCACCCCTCATCACCGCATGTTTGTGCTCACATTAAGTCTTCTCTTCCCCCCCACCCCCGAACTACCTGAGGAAGATGCTGATGAGGCTTCTTCTGTCTTAACGTATCCTACTGTCTCGTTGCTGGTCTCCTCTCTGGATATGCTCATGGCTGTCATCTGATGGGTCACAGGGGTCTGAGTGCTGGGAGCATTTGCAGCAAACAAACCACGGAGCAAACAGAAACATTTTCCTGTGAGGAGCAGTTTTATGAGTGCTAGCTCCAAGAGAGCCCTTAATTATCTCTGTTACACTCACAAAGAGCTGGACAGTACAGTGGGTCACAATTTAACCTCTCTCTTTTGGAGACTTGCGTTCAAATTGCTCTTAGGACACATGAATCTGGGATGCTTTCAGCTCCCCTCCCACCCACAGTATCTCACGGCCATCAATATGATTCACAACCTGTATAGAAAAGTCCAGGTCTCAAACAGTGTATACAGTGCTGACCTGAGGATAAAGCAACAGATCCCAGTGAGAATAGTAGGGGAGTTATTAATGAGGACAGAGAGGCCCTAATTTTGCTATAGGGGGTTCCAGGCTGGGTTCTGTCTACAACTGAGTCAGGACTAATAAGCAGGGATCTGGGTTTTCCGCTCACCACGGAAAAATGCAGATTTCTTCCCTTAAAGGAGAAAAATGTGGTCTCCTTTAAAGCAGCAAATCAAGGATTTCCTCCTTTAAAAGAGAAAACTGCAGAAAACCGCAGGTTCCCCCTTGCAGGCTGGGAGCCTTCCAGCCTGCGAGTGGCAGCTTAGGACTGGGATGAACAGGGGGGGTGTGACTGGAGGCAGGGGGTGCCACATGCACACGCACATGACCCTCCCGTCCCCTTCTTCTCCTGCTGGAGTCCTGCAAGTCCACGTGGGGCTGGGCAGGGCAAGGGGCAGCCGGGGGCCCCCTCTGGCAGGGCTGGGCGGAGAGAAGGGGGCTGTGGGTCAGGAGTGAGGGGCACTGGCAGGGACTGGGAGCTGTGGGTTGGGAGTGAGGGGCACTGGAAGAGCCAGGGGGTTGTTGGTTGGGAGGGGCACCAGCAGGGCTGGGGGGTGGGATTGTGACTTGGGAGTGAGGGACGACGACATGGGTAGGCCACCAGCATATCAGGGCTGCTCAGCATCACAAAGCAGTGGTGGGGACAGTGGCAGCTGGACCCACATCCTGGTAAGCAAAGGGAGCAAGAAGCTCCAGGAGTTCCGCTTTTCCATGAGAAAAAAAACCAAAACCAGATGCCAAAATACATAGGTACTTAGCATGTATTTTACTATACTAATTAAGGTGCTAGAAGACTTTCAAATTCCTTTAAAACTGTAACTATCTCAGTAAAACATTGTGTTCAACTGATGCCTATATATATATAGTGGCGTTCCATTTTAATCACAGAAAAACAGATTTTGGGTTTTTGAATCAGGGAATTTGGGGAGGGTTTATGAGAGAATTTGGGATTTTTAAGCAAAGAAAACCAGGATCCCTGCTAACAAGCTACAACTGAGTTGGGACAAATATGTGATCTGGGTATGACTGGGATGCACTGGCGCAGCTGTGTCCAGAGGAATTGTCTTTTTGGTCACAGCAGCTTTCAATCCTGTATTCTAAAGTTCACTGGGTTCTCTACCCCACAGAATTTAAGCTCTTGATGTGAACTGCGGGTCCAGAGCCTTTTAAGGCTGTATGAGTGATATTTAATTGTGGGGAACTGCACAGGGATATCAATGGAGTCCCCTTGGGATGACTGGGATCTGTGGGTTTTACATTCCAGCTACAAGAGCAAATGCTTGTTTCCCTCTTCATTACTAAACCTTTCCCATTAAGGAGCTAGGCTGGTGCTGGCTGCACTCAGCTCCAGCTGTCTGAGGTCAGTGTACCAATGCAATTAAAGACAAACCTCTCCTGAACTCCAAGAAGCTGGAGAGAGCAGGCTGGATCCTCCTACAGGCCCAGCCCTTTGCTCATGGTTTTCTAGAGCACCCATCAGCCCAGGATCTGAGTCCCACTGGATATTAGTGAGGTGGGGATGAGGCACCCCACAGGTGTTTGGAGGCATCCAGTCCTCATTCACAACTGCTTGACCCCAAATTTTCCCAGTGCCTTCAAGAGAACTACTCCTCACGTCCATCAGTGTGACATGAGACCCAGACAGGGTCAATAAAGTCCAGACAGCATAAGTCCCGGAAATTAAACAGGGGGACAGGATGGGGTGAAACTAGGGAGAACCAAAAACGTTTCTGGGGAGCTTGGAGGGTGGAGAGACACCCACAGCCCTCGGCCTCCCCTACTTGACCCCATATATCAGGTTGTCATCTTCAGAGCATTAGAGGTTCAGACTAGACCACTGCAATGTCTTGCTGGCTTGGCTTTAGACCCGGACTGTTCACAAAAGCTCACTGGCTGCAAGGTCAGTGAACAGAAGCCCACCCCTCTGGCCCAAAGCCATCACTAGTCGATCAGCCCAAAACCTCTCACCCCTACCTGGCTTTCACATCTTCAGGCATAGTATCTCCCTCCGTGTCCTGGCCTAGGCTGGAATCTGAAGCCACAGGACTGCTGCTGGGACCACTCGCTGCTAAGAAATAAAACCACATTCCTGGTGAAGGCTCCAGCAGATAAATAAGTTTCCCAAGGGGGCAAAAGATGGTCCAGGGCAGAGCGGGGTGGGACAAGTAGGGCTTAGGAACTAAGTCCTGCCTCTCAATGTCCTCACTGCATCCCTCTAAGCTCAGTACAAGGGGTCCTTCCAAAGGCCCCCGGGTGCTGAACACCCCTGCCTGATGCTGGCTTCTCACCTCACCCTGATGTGTGGAAAATGACCTGCCACCTCTTCCACCTCAATAGTCACCCCATAAAAAGGGCCCTCAAAGGAGGCTGCTCACACCCACAGCCCTCAAACCCAAGGGTTACACTGAGACTCCCCAAAGGCCGAGGGCCCCAATTCTATGTACTGTATATCAGCACAGCTCCACTGGCCACTACGGGAACCCCCAGCTCACACCCTCAGTTAAGCTCTCCTGTAAATCACAACAGTAGTCTCGGTCCCTGGAGCACCACAAACCAGCAGAATCAAGGAAGGCCACTACAATGCTGGGGATCAAAACCATGTGAGACACTCCTGAGGCATCTCTGAGAGCTGAGCCCCTGGCTACATGGCATCTGCCCATGCTCTCTGTGCTGGGTTTGTGGCTGCTTCTCTGTTCAGCAACATGGCTGTGTTCATCCGCAGAACAAACTGCCAGCGCCGCTGCTCTTGCCTGTCAATGCTAAGATGAGAAAACTAAGAGGGGCCGAAGTCTCACTGATTTCAGTGAATTCAAGCCAGTAAGGGTATGGCCTGAGATTTTTAGTAATATCCACTCAGCCCAGGGAATGGCTGACTAACCAAATGTCCCGACCTTGAGTGTGATGAGTGCTGCAGCGTATATCAAAAGGGCTGGAGCAGGGGGGAAATAAAAAGAACCCAGAGGGGGAACAAACAGCTATCACGGACAGGGACCCATGGAAGCCTGGATTCTCAGCTCTCAGTCCCAGCTGCACGTGCCGAGCCAGACCTCAGCTTTCCAGGCGGGAGCAGATCAGCTATGACGTGCTTTAACCAGGCTGTCCTGGCTTTGTAAACACCATGCACCAAGGCACCCCATACAGATCTCCCCAAGAGGGCTCCTACCTGGGGGGCTTATCCGACCGCTGCTCTGCTGTCTCTGCAGATACTCTTTATAGCAAACGGAGCACATCCCATTGGTCCGGGGGCTGCCATAAAACCCACAGCCTGTAGTACACAGCATGGGCACCTGCGTTTGATTGGTTTCCTGGGCCATCCTTTCTCCCGTTTCGCTGCAAGCTGCGGCTGGCCAGGAAGGAGAGGAGGAAAGGCTCCCACAGCCCGGGTCCTGCACTCAACGATGCCGCTTGACTCCCCCGAGTCAAAGCTACACGTGTGCATATGCTTGCAGGATCAGAGCCCTGACAACCCTGCAACTCTCAGTCCTGGGCAGCCTAGTTTTGAACCATCCATCAAGGGGAATAGGACAAGCAGCCCGTTCTCATCCCAGCAGGCTTGTGGAAACCCGAAGAATACGTCTCCGAGCCTGGGCCAAACAATCCATATCCAAATGTGAAGAAACGTCTTAGTGAGCACACCTGCAATCACCAGGCCGAGGGCCCCTGAAGGGCTGAGCAGCCCAGACCAGTGGGAGTCAGCTACATTTTACACCATGTACGTCTTAGCTCTGCTTTCAGGCTGTCATGTGCTCACTCAAGGCTGCGATATCCAGCTCAGAGCACATTCAAATCCAAACACAAATCTGCTTTTCTTTGAACAGTGTCCTTGAACCCTGGCGAGAGGTGCTTAGGAAAGCAAACAGGGGAGGATTCCTAGAATCCCATTTTGTAAAATCTGTAGCACATGCAGTTTTTGAGTGGCCTGTGGTAGTGGCTGTCTATGCTGGATCAAAAGCAGGCCCTCCGGGTATCTTCACCCAACTGCTTTTCCTTCTGCAAAGCTGGCACAAGAACAGAAGAGTATAAACTGGCCACTGATATATTCGGACTAGGAATGAGAAGGTCTCTCACCATCAAAGGAGCGAGGTTCTGAATCAACCCACCTGAATTCGCAACCATCTAGAAGCGATGTGGTCAGCAGCGCGTCTGACTGCCTTTTGACTCCCCAGCAAAAATGGCCAGACAACCCGTTTATAGCTGGGCTGACTGGGAGCAGCCTTTGGCAGCAGTCAGAAGCAAAGCTTTGAATTCAAGCCTCTGGAGCTGTAGCGAGACACCTTAACCAGAAGTGTGGCAACCCATCTCAACTGCTCTCTCATCTCGAACAGGGGCAGTGGGGACAAGAAATACCCCTGTTTCTAAGATGCTTGTCAGGTTTAGAAATGAGATGATGCAAGAAGGTGGCCTTCAAAAGAAGATGACTGATCTCAATGATTTGGGATGCCATCCCATCCAACCTGCTGCATTATTTATATTCCCAAACTGCAGGGAAATACGTTCTAAACAAAAACAGTGAGTGATGGCTCCTGGTGGTGGTAACAAGCACAGTGACATGGAACACAGACAGAGGAAACATGCACCACAGCTTGTAGCAGAAATGACAAATCATTCCTGTTCTGGGGTGAAATTGTGCCCTCAGCACAGCACTGAGAACCTGGCAAACTCCAGGGCCGATGGCACTGTTCTAAATTTACACCGGTTAAAAAGGAAACCAGAGCCCAGCTCTATGTCATAAGATCACAGGGTCGTGATTATTCTGGCCTCTACAACACCACCATTTTGAGCACATGGAGGTGGAGCCTGTGCATGTCAAAACAGGAAGTTCCCCTCTGCCTTTCTTGCAGCCTTCGGAGGGCAGGCAGCAGAGCCAACAGCCCCACAAGCTCCCAGAAGTCCTTTTACAGGAACAAGACACAGTCCAGCCTCTGTGGTTTTGTGCGGGGGTGGGTGGAGGGATGCAGAGCCAGTGCTCTCATGCAAAACCCGTGCAATCCCTGCAGGAAGCTCCCCCTGGAGCTACTGCTTCTTTGCAGTGCAACAGATGGGTGCCAGGGACAGCCACGTCCTGGGAGAGCCACGCCAACTGCTTCCTGCCTGCATACTGCAAAACCTCCCCCCTGAGGCAAGGATGTGTTGGGAACAAGACAGCTTTCCCCTCCCATGAGCTGTTCTGTGGGAGGGCAATGATTCAGCTCATACCAGCTCACTCCTCTCTGTCCTCCGCTGGGTTGATCAGAGTCTCTAACAGCACCCGTGGCTCTGCTCCCCGGTGCCAGCAGGCCGCCCTCTCCCATCTCATGTCTGCCAACTCTATCAGTGCAACCCTTCACACGAGCCGAGCCACCCCCACACTTGGCTAGAGGGGCGAGGTTGCACAAGGGCTCCGATTAACCCAGTGCATGCTGGATTACTGAAAGCAACCCAACCCACAGCCCAGGAGAGCAGCTGGGAATAACAGCGGTCCTTCCCAGCCTCCCTTGCAGAAGCAGCCGCTAATAAAGCTGCCCTGCCCAATGGTAAGAGGGATTTGCACAGCTGATCTATGCATATATGCAGCTGGCTCAGCCGCCCCCATCAAGCCAGCAGGGCATGGGCACACCTGGATGCTCCTGGCAGATCCCGGCCACCCTGCCAGTGCATCAAGTGAGCGCTGGTACGGGGCCAGCTGCTGACTGGCCCACAGCAGCCAGCTGCAGTGTTGCCAACTCTCATGATTTTAGGCATTGTTCTTAAAGTCTACGCTTCAGGAATGTGAAAAACTTAGCTTTCTTTTACACACACACACATATATACACACACACATACATATAGTGTATGTGTGGATATACATACAGACATATTATAGATATATGCACATATATATACACACATATTATATAAAAGATATATCTATATCTATATCTATAAAAAAAGAGAGCTACATTTTTCACAACACCCAAAATCATGAGAGTTGGCAATACAGCAGCTGAAGGTGTGGGGGTTAGGAGACAGGTCTTTACGTGCTGCGCTGCACGCGTAGCACAACCCAGTGGAGGGGTTTCCAGTGTGACCCCCCCCTCAAAGCTCTGCTGGGAAAAGTCTGCAGTGGAGATGAGGCCTTGGAAGGCACCCAGGAAGCAGCCTGATGCCCTTGCTACACACACAGATTAAAGCAGCACAGTCCTAAAGGAGTGTCCTGCCTGGGGCTGACCCTCGTCCACAAACAACACCCCATCACAAGAGCAGGGTACCCACGACTGGGGAGGCAGGCTCCTCAGCATAAACACCACGGGGGCAAGTTTCGGTGCCCAGGACAGCGCTGCCACTCCTCACTGCAGCTCTAAGCGTCTCCTCTCTCTGCTGCTGCTCCCCACCTCCGCGCGCAGGCGCTGGCTGAGGATGAGGCCGGAGGCCACGGGCACCGCTGGCACCAAGCTGAAATCTGTCTCGTGCGCCCGGTCCCAGAACACCAGACCTAGCGGCACCTGCCGAATCAGCGGGCGACAGATTTCAAACGAAGCGGAAGTACTTTTTTAGGCGCCGCATAGTTCACTTGTGGAACGCGCCGCCACAGGAGGGGGCACAGGTGCCGAAACCCGCTGCGCCGTCATTCCCGGCTGACCGCCGACCAGAACAGCTGGAGACGCGTCCTGGGCATCTGCAAACCAGGACATGTTGAGGGAGGGCATGACCAGGGGAGCGCCCGCTGCAGAGACGCCGGGATCAACACTCTCCCTCTACGGCGCCCGTCTCTCCCCACCTTGCCCGTGCCGGGGAAGAGCCGGGATCTCTTCCCAAGCCATTAGGGGCTGGACTGGATGATCTCCGAGGTCCCTTCCAGCCCTAATGTCTATGAAAAGCCGTGCAGGGAGTCACCTTGCTGCCCAGTGCCTCCTCCTTGATGCCGAAGCCAGTCCTCCCGGGGCAGAGCCGGGCAGAAACCCCCACCTGGAGAGAAGGGGCGCCAGGGGCAGTGCGGGGAGCGGGCCGGGGACCGCATGGGTCGCAGCGGGGTGACCCCCAGTCCCGGCGTGTCTGGGAGCAGCGAAGCCCCGCCCCCGCGATGCCCCGGGCAACGCGGCTGATTGACAGCCCCGCGCGCCAATCCCGGCGCCAGC